ACTCGGATTAGGACTGATAGTGCGTTTTTCTAGACTAGACTAGGTGTTATCAGTGTATTTTGTACTGGCTTAGGTGGTATCGGTATATAATTCGTGCTGGATTGAGGACCAATTGGTGGAATAAATTCAAGGAATTTAGTGGGTTTGTTAGAGATAATTATTGGATTAGTACGAATGAGTTGGGGATTTTATGATTGAACTACCGGGTATGCCCGGACTGATTGGCTTGTTGATTCGGTACCCAATTGTTGGGAAATTTGAATAATTCCATGTCGCGTGACTGCGTGGCCGACTCGTGCGGAGTGTGATTGGCCATTTAATGGCTTGATTGGATTATTGAATATTATTGAATTATCCATTGTGAAATTGGGCCGCACGGTATTAATTGGTTAGTGAATGATTGTTGCGGCATGAAATTGACTGAGTGCCTGATTATATTTGATGCTCATGGTGCATCATACTGCATTGCACGGATACGTATTTTGAGTGCCGAGAATGAGACGAGTGATGAATAGTGCGAGAATGCGTGCCTGCTATGAGCATGTGATCACCTAACTATGCCCTGATGCGTTTTACGCGGGGTTCAGATAATAATTGGCTGTATGTTCGTGTGATCACATTTTGCCTTGATGCGTGATACGCGGGGTGTGCCGTCCTGATGCGTGTTACGCGGGACGATGCCCGGTACGTTCGGAAGACGACCAACCTGATGCGTTTTACGCGGGCTCTGATTCGTAAGGAGATCGGTGTTGCGCCTAATGCGTTTTAACGTGGGCTAGAGACACTGGGCTGGGGGCGTATTTACGATGGCCACGAAGTGTTGTGATTAAATAAAGAGACCTGATGCATTTTACGCGGGTCATATTAAATGATAAATTGAGAAAGTCCCAGTGTGCCAGTGTGGGCTAGTGAGCCGAGACATGAATGTGGACATTTGCATGCATAAGAATGCGTGGGCCAAAATGTGAGTGTGCGGGACTCGGTGAATAGTCCGTGATGTTATCATTATTGAGCATGAACATACGCTTGACGTACACGTGAACTGAGTGCTCGTATATGCGACTGGACTATATTATTATTTTGAATAACTTGCAGGGTCAGCCAGGTAAGAAATCTGGGCCAGAGGGCCTAGGTCAGAAATTATTTATGAGTAAACTTGCAATGTGATTATGTGTTATCGGTCAGGAGAATTGCATGTTAGCCTAACCTAGATTTAGGGGGTTATACTCGCTAAGATTCGTCTCACGGTTGTAATAACCCACATTTTCAGACCCCCAGCCATAGAATGCCGAGGACAGCACTTCTTTTTGGGATACCGCATCATATCCAGTGGTCGTCTAGCGTACATCCCTATAGAGACGGAGCAGCCTATGTGAGATATTACTCGGTTTTGTTGTGAACGTGGGGGAGGATTACTACCACACCCAGGAGTACGTGGCTTGGTATTATAGGGGGCTGATGGCGTGACCGGACCCCCACTTTTGATCGAGTAGCTGCTGGTGTGTGCTTTTCACTATCGTTGTATAGTCGAAGGTTGTAAAAAGTTTTCTATGGCAATGCCAGTGTATATATATTTTCAGAGTTGTTTGATTGCTGGTTGTTCTACCTTGGTCTCATGTGTTTATTTGTACGGTTGTATATATATATATTTATATACGTGCTTCCGTATGCGATTGATCTCTGATTGGGTGTTGGGTCGGCGACGTTTCTTGGGAACGTTGCACCATAATCGACCATGACGGGATGTTGCGTTCCAGTGGGGTACGGGGCGTGACAGCGTGTGCATGTGCCCGGGGCAAGGTAAGGTTGCCTGTGACTGTGTGGCGAAATGTTGTGAGTATTATGTTGAGATATCCACCTTCGATGTATCGTTGCATGTTTTAGGTACATCCGAGATGAGTTGACCTCCTAATCGAGGCTTAGGTCGTTAACTTACTGAGATTTTATCTCACTCGTTGTTGTTAACCACTTTTCAGGTGTTCAGGTATGAGTACGCGTTGCGTTCCAAGGGAACTGGCTGTTTCGAGGGGAAACACCTTTTTGAGGTTATCCTCGTAGATAGAGGAGCTAGGTTAACCCCTACCTTTTGTGGTTGCAATCGGATAGATCTGTGTGGCGGGCTCGTAATATGTTAACCCTATGTATTGTTGATGTTGTTTAAATTGAGGTGTGTTTTCCTGACTATCCCTGTTGTTTTGATTGGGAGTTTTAGTTCGCTTTCGCATGCATTTAATCGTTAGTGATTCGATTGGGTCGGCGACGCGTCCTAGGACGTCGCATTTATAACGACTATGGTGGGATGTTAGCGTGCTCGAGGGTCGGGGCGTGACACCCGTCCACATCAGAAAAAAAAAACTAAAACTTTAAAGAAAGGAAAATGATAAATAAATTTGAAAAAAGAAGAAAAGATGATATAAGAAAAAGGATAAGAATAAAAAAAATATGAAAAAAAAAAAACTCACCCACCAGCCACCATAGTGCAATGGCCAAGCTCCACGAAGCTCAAGCACGAGGGTTCAGCGTCGCATCGGGGTCCTTGCTATCGCTTTAAGCCCCGCGGCAACGAGTCCCGGAACCGCCACAGCTTTGACGATCCGGTCGAGTTGCGCCTCCAACAACCAATGACAGCTCGACCTCTGTGTCCGTGACGGGTCGAGTGGGACAGTCACACATCATATCAGCTGATGAAGCGCCGCACCATGACTCGGTAAATCAAATCCTAACAAGTCCCGAAAATTGGACTTGGTGTTGGCCGCAATAACGCGTGCATGGGTGCGCGCCTCTCTTTCTACTCCATCGTGATGCCATCACGAGACGCTGAAAGAGATTTCCCACTCAAAATCATAAGCTCAACCAAACGTCATCATTTCGTCGAAGAAATTATCAAAGAAATCTTAAACCTATTATAATTATGTCTCAATCTTAAACACTTTAATTTAATCAATTTAATTCTAAACATTTTGATAATTTATCAATTCAGTCAATCCGGCCAATTTTGCCAGAAAACCGCTGACTTTGATAATTTTTAAAATTTTATTAAAATTTTTTATTTTTTTCTCTTTATTTGCCTTTTTATATTCTGTTTTCTTATTGTGACCGGCGAGGTCGCCATTCGGGTGAGGCTCGAGCATGTGATATTTCCGACGGCTAGGATATGAGCATTTTTGTCCAAAAAATATACGGGTAAAAACTAACAATTCCTAAAAACAAAATTAAAAAAGAAAAACCAAATTCTTCTTCCTTCTTCGTTGCACTTGGAGAACCCAAATTCTCTTTTCGGGGAGCATGGTCAGGGATGTGCCCCACGTCGTTCCAACTTCGCCAGCGAGTGCCGTCGACCCCCGCTGGGGTCGGCTGACACTCGAGGTTTGGACGGAGCTCGACCGCAAATCTGGAGTCGAGTGGCAAAGCTCAAGCCGGACTTGCTTCGCCGCTCGACTCCAGATTTGCGACAACTGAAGCTGCGAATCTTTCAAGCGCGAACTTATAAATAAGCGCGACCTCTGATTCGACCAAGAAATCACAGCAAACCGAATCTTGTCGCTACGCGGAAAGGGGCAAGTCGAAGAAGAAGTCTCTCCCCCCAAGTCGCCGCAAACCGCGGTACAAGATTCAGATGTGGAGAGAGCGAGTTGAGAAGCGGGAAGAAGCAGTAGTTGTCACCTCGTCCCAGTCGCTAAAAATCCTCGTACATTTTCGATCTTTAGACATAAACTCTTTTTTGCTCTGTTTTTGTTTTCTTCTTCGATCACGACGTGGAAAAATCGTTGGCCGGCTGCTGGAAAAATCAGAGCAAAATCAAGTGCTCACCAGAAAAGTCTGTCTCAAATAACTCCAGATTTTATTTTGGACAAAAATGCCCTGTTTCAGCTGCCGGAAAAATCAAGCGCCCCAAAATTTGGCCGGCCAACGAGCTCAAAAGCCCTTTTTTGAGACTAACTTGGCCACTTAGGCTCTTATTTGAAGCAATGTTCAATTAGGGACATCTTTTAAGAAAGTGACTGCACTTTAAGGTCCCTTTTGGCAACTTGCCAAATAATGAAAATTTCTATTCTTTTGTTCTCAGAATCAGTTTTGGAACAAAAATCCGTTTAATAAATTTAGTAAACTTTTTATTCCCGGGCACAAATTTGCAAAAAATTATTCCCAGAATCAGTTTTGTAATAGAATCAAGAAGCAAAAAAAAAAAAAATTCTTGATTCTGGGAACAAGAATTAGAATTGAAAAAGAAATTATTTTTTTTTCTTCTTCTTCTTCTTCATTCTTTTTGCCTAGCCGGACTTCTTGAACTTTTTTTTTTTTTTTGGTCGAAGGACTTCTTGAACTTGACAACAACTAATCTGACTCCTGTCATGGGGCACTTCTTTAAGCTCGAAAATACGTTCAACTATGTGGAGCCAATCAATGAGTTCATCAGATGGCATTCGCCCTTCAAAATCAAGAATCCCCCCCTTTAACACCAAGATACTGATAGGTGGGAGTTCTCCTTTCTCTGCCGCGTTGTCCTACTTCGTTGGTGGACAAACAAACCCTGTCTTCAGTTTGACAGGTAGGACGGCCGGTGATACGTCATCAATTTCCAGTGTCAATTAGCCGAAGGATTATATTGGAATTTTGTATAAAGATTTAGGACTAGATTGGTAAAATTGAAAAGTTTAGGACTGAATTAACATCCGCACAATGTTTAGGATATATTGCCTTTTTTTCTCACAAATAAAACAATGAATAGGTTTTTGGCTTAATTGTTCTTTTTTCATTAATAGTGTCGTCATTTCGGAGAAAAAAACAAAACAAAATGAAAACAACTGAAATGAAAAGGGTGAAAGGAATGTTCAAAAACTAATCCGGATACACAACAGAACCTACCAAAGGAGAAGATCATCAAGCGCCACTGCCACCGACCAGTCAACGGTCGATTTGCTCACCGAAGACCAAACCAACCCTGGTCTATATATAAGTGTGAGGATTGTCCATCCAAAGGACGTGCGCATACGCAGTGACCGAGCTATTCCACCGACCAGTCACGTTACGAATCAATGTCTAGCTACGAAGTGTTCTTGAGTTTCAGAGGGCCAGACACGCGCAATCACTTTGCGGATTTTCTGTACACCATGCTGATTGGTGTTGGGATTCGCGTCTTTAGAGACGAGGAAGAGCTGTTGAGAGGCAGCGAAATCTTACCCCATCTGACGGGGGCGATACAGCAGTCCAAGATATCAATACCCGTCATCTCCAAGGAGTACGCGTCCAGCCGGAGCTGTCTCATGGAATTGGTGCAAATGGTGGAGTGCATGGACAACAATGAACAGACCATCATCCCCATCTTCTACCATGTCAACCCGTCGGATGTACGCAAGTGCACGGGCCCTTTTGAGTTGGCCTTGGATGAACCCCAGAAGTGCGCTCTCAGTCGGATTGGAGACTTGAAGGGACACCATCTCCTCGAAAGAAGTGAAGTGTAATTTCCATGACACTCTCTGGCCAGAGATTACTTTTCTCATATATCTTGCCTACTTTTGCGTTAAAATTAAATAGGTTCAAATCATATCCAATTATATATTTGTTATTATAACAATGACAACGGCTGCAATTGCATCATGCATAAATAGGTTTTCTTCCGCTTTCAATCCTTCTCCTCCATGTCCTCTTTATTCCACATACATTTGGCAGGTATCATGGCAAAGTCATTAAGGAAATTGTCCGTGAAGTTGAGCTGAAGCTGAAGAAGAGGGACCTAATTGTGCCGAAACATTTAGTTGGAGTCGATCCTCATGTGCAAAAAATAAAGGCAAAGCTGAAGTTTGACTACCGCAATGGGCAAGCGGTTAGAATTGGAAACACACGTGAAAAGGTGTTAATTTATGGCATCCCCGGGGTCGGTAAGGCAGTCCTGGCGAAATGTGTTTATAATGAACTTCATCATCTGTACGATGCCTGTAGCTTTCTTGAAAAGATTCAAGAAGAAATTAGAGATCACGGCATCGTGTCTGTGCAAAACAGACTAATTTCCCACCTCCACAAGACATGTGCCCAACAGTTCGATTGTTCTGACCATGCTCTGACATATATTCAGAGCAGATTTCTCGCCATGAAGGTCATTCTTCTCCTTGACGATGTGAAGGATCACGAACAGCTCAGCGCATTAGTCGGAGAGCTTGATTGGTTTGGCCCAGGGAGCACGGTCATTGTGACATCCCGAAGGAAAAACGTCCTTCAAAAAGTCAGTGGTGCAGGAAGTTGTGTCCTTAGAACGATGAAACAAGATGATGCTCTGACATTATTCTGTAAGCATGCTTTTGAAACGGATTCTCCCCCTGAGAAATTCAAGCAACTGGCAACAGATATCGTTGCTACTACTGACGGGCTTCCTTTAGCTCTCCAGAAGGTAGGTGAATCTCTGTTCGGACAAATAAGTAAGAAAGTTTGGACGGAAAAACTGACTGCATTGGAAGAAGCTCCTGATAAGAGTGTCCAAGCAGCCTTGGAGAAGAGCTATGACACCTTAGAAGAAAACGAACAGAAGATATTTCTTGATATAGCATGCTTCCTCAATGGAAAGGACCAGAGAATCCCGTATTACATGTGGGATGACTGTAAATTTTTTCCTACTAACTCGATTATATCTCTTCAAGCCATGTCTTTGGTAGAAATTGGAGAGGATCAAAGACTATGCATGCATGAAATACTGAAGACCTTTGGCCGGGAAATTGTCAAGAATGAAAGCAAGGATGAACCTTGGAGGCGCAGTAGGCTATGCAACCATGAAGAAGCATTGGATGTACTAAAAAAAAGGAAGGTAACTTCTGCGAGTACTGCGCCATATCGTTTCTTCTTTAGATGCCAATTGATACAGTTATTGATTGTTGTTGTTCAATTATTCGTCAAGTGTGATGCTAAAAGACAGCTCCATTTTTTAAAAATAATTTTGTTTTGCTTGATTGACAGGGAACTAAGTCCGTTGAAGCCCTTGGGCTGGAGTTTGCTGACGGATCTGAAGAGAATATCATTTTTGAATGTGATCAATTTGTTGGTTTACAGAACTTGAGGTTCCTCAAGATGGATCAGGCTGATATTCGGGGAAACTTTCGGGATCATTTTTTGAGTTTAAGGTGGCTTGATTGGCGAGGGTGCCTTACAATCATTATGGATCATTTAAATCTGAATTTGCAAAACCTGGTGATTCTTGATTTTTCGCGGAGTCAGGTTCACAAAGACTGGAGAGGTTGGGAGCTACTTCAGCAGGTGTGGAATGAATTTACTATCTTCAAACATTTTTAACTTTTTGACTACGTATTTCTCAGGAACTAAACATTTACTAACATATCCTAATTATCTTGCAGGCAAAGAAACTGAAAGTTTTGAAACTAACTGGTTGTGTGCAATTGACAGCCACTCCAGAATTTCCTGCTTCAATGGAGCTGGAAAGACTTAATCTGGAAGGTTGCTCGAGCTTAGCAGTTATCAATCCATCATTTTGTAATCTGACGAAGTTGGTTTCTTTGAACATGAAGGGATGCAGTCTCCTCTGTCAATTGCCAGATTTGGGTCCCATGAGAGGCTTGAAAGAGCTGGTGATCGATGGAACTTCCATTTCTCGGATTAATGTCCAAGAAGGTTCCATGAGGAAGCTCAAAACTCTCAGTGCTTGTAATTGTAAAAAACTGACTGAGATATCCGACTCGATCAGGTACTTAAAGTCTCTCACATATCTTGCTTTAGACGGCTCTGAAATCAATACCCTCCAGGAGTCCGTTGGATTGCTGGAGAAACTGAAGACACTGTCTCTGAAGCACTGCCGTTGGCTATCCCGTCTTCCAGATGGAATAGGACACCTTAGGTCACTGCAATTCTTAGATTTATCCGACACTGTGATTCAAGAGTTACCTCCTTCTGTTAAGGATTTGAAAGCTATGGAAGTGCTCAGGATGAGGGGTACTTTCATACGGGAGTTTCCTGAAGCTATTTTGAATTTGGAGAAGCTGGAAGAGATAGATTTCTCGTTATGCGGGAGTTTAGAGGGGAGAATCCCCGACGACATTTGGAGATTGAAGTCTTTGGCAATCCTGAACCTGTCCGACACTCGGATTTCTGGCCTGCCCGCAAGTGTTTCCCACGTTTCTCGTTTCTGGGATCTCGACATCTCCAGATGCGACAATCTTCAGAGCGTATCCAAGTTGCCCTGTTCGGTTAATGTTTTTTGTGATCTGGGTAATTAGATTCTAGACAATATTTTAATAGCTTTTCAATTATCTTTTATTGGTGAATCATTAGGAAATTTAGACTATTTATATTTGTATTATTCTCTTTGCAATGAGCTTGTCCTTTGAATTAATAGAAAATTGAGAGCTTTTCTCTGTTACGCTTCATGCGTATTTACAAGGTCTGGTTCATGTTTACTCATTTTTACCGCCTTCAGTAAAAAGCAAATCTCTCGGAATCACATCTACGAAATCAATCAAAAGCTCTTGCTTTGAGAAAAGATTCCAACCAAATTTGTTAGATAGATCCGTCCATTTCAGGTATCACAAAATCGACTTCCTGTAGATATTCTATCTTTCCTCCTTCAACTACTTCTATTTTATCACGAGAAACCTGATTTCATTATTTGGATTCAGTTTCAATCTCTCCGCCATCGCACTAATCATCACTAACTTGAAACAAATGTTTTTATTTTTTGGTCGAAAGTACTGAAAATTTCATTAACTCAAAAAAAGTTTGTGAACATCAGAACATAAAATATCCATCATAGGTTGCAGGGATAAGACAGCCAAGTAGAATGAAGTTACTGTTTTCGATTGGGCTTTTGCCACCCAATTTGCTAACTTCTTTGCCTCTCTTGGACAATGGCTCAGACGCACAAAACTAAGACGGGTCAGCTTCAATTTGCATTCTTCGGTCCAGGCCTGGTGTCCCACCGGCCTTGGTCAGCGCCATCACGCATTTGACCAAGGCAAGATTGTCGCTTTCCACTTCAACCACTTTTGTAGAATGTCCTTGCCGGTCCAAAACTTCCTCCAAGTACTTCAGACATCCGAGCGGAGCTAGTGTTTCGACCGCCATCACCAAACCAGCATGAACAGAATTCGCGAAGCCGTGAATCAGCACACCCTTCGAGTCACGAACCACTTCGGCGACTGCTCATTCCGGCAAGCCTTCTGATTTTGAGCCATCGATGTTGATCTTGAGGGATCTTCTAGCCGGTGGTTGCCAAATTGAAAGTAATTGAGTTTGTTGCAACCTGTTCGTTTTCGCTCCCTAAGTCCAACTCAGGAAGCTTGTGTTCGCTATGATTGTAGGTGCTTTTCACCATGTAAGTCCCGGCTTTATTCCCTATCCAGACCAGCCTATCCTCCTCTAGACTCGTTATTAAAGCGATAGCTAGAATTTCGCTAGCTATATTCATATCAAAAAGATTCTGCAGCCCGTATTCATTCTAGGCCCTGTCTTCCTGATTAATCAGGTCCTCAACTCTTTGGGGCTCACCTAGGTTGGCCGGTCCTCCATTGACATCCATTTCCAGCCATCTGCCCTCTCGGAACTTAATAGATTTTCCATTTCCCACTGCCTATCTAATTTCTCCACTAATGGACTCCCTGCCAACAAGCAAACTTTGCCAACCAAATGAAGGTCGCGAACCCTTCCTCGTATTTCAAAAATCTCCTCTGGGAAAGTAATTCCTCTGAACAATTGACTCCATAGGGCCGATGGTGATTGTGAAAGTCTCTAATACTGTATACCCAATATTGTCTTATTAAAGGAAATAGGATCGCGAAAGCTGATCCCCACTGTCATTTCTGGTTTTAAGAATCTCCCATTTCTTCCGATGCATCCCGGAGTTCGTGTCATTCTGATTCCACCAGAAGGAAGCTATCCTTCACTCGATTTCTCTACAAACAAAGACTGGGATTTTGAAGATGGCTATTGCGTATTGAGGCAAGGCTTGCACAACAGTCTTGATTAATGTTTCCTTTCCGGCTTTGGACATTAGCTTTTCCTTCCATCCCTCCAACTTCGTATTCACTCTTGCCGGGTTCCAAGCAAACATTTGCTTCTTGGATTGTCCCCAGTCGGTAGAGGTGTCAACGGTTTAGTTCGGTTTGGTTTTCCGTAATATTCGAACCAAACCGAACCAATAAGGACAAGTGTTTGTTATGAACCAAATCGAGACACGATCCGAAAATATCCAAACAAAAAAAGTGGTTCGGGTCGGTTCGGTTTTCAGTTTTCTTCAATTTTTCTTTTTATTTCTCTTTCTTTCTCAGTTCTCACGAAACCCCTCTCTGACATTTCCTTTTCTCTCTCCTCCCTTTCTTAACCCAGAAAACCATCCCCTTTCTCTCTCCTCTTTTACTCTCTATCATCTGCCGTGCTCTAGCCGTTGTCCCTCGCACCAAATGTCGCCGGCGACCCCACGCCCACCTCTGAACTCGACAGTAAGAATTGAGTCCCCTAGAGACCCGGTCGTACCTCTCTTTCCTCTTACCCTTTCGACCTCAGATCGGGGTCGATACGACCCGTCGTCACCGAATCGACCTAGATTCGAACACTAGATTCTCAGATCTAGGGCTCGGTTGAGCTCTACCGGAGGCAAGATCCTCACCTGTTTGGTCCACTGAGATCACAAGCAGACACTAAAGCCTCCTCTCCTCTTCGTTTTTGACCCAAGAAGCAGAAGGAGAGCTCGGGCAGAGGTCTTCACGTTGAATCTCATCTCGCCGGTTCGTTGCTAGTATACCTGGTATCGGTAGGAGGAAAACTGTTTGTGGGTTTCTAGATTTGTGAGGAGGTGAAGAGGAACGGGGAAAGGGAAGGGGATTGGGCTTTGGATGGCGAGGACGAACTGAAATAATCCGAACCGTAAAAAAAGAATGACTGGGATTTCAACTTTTTTGGTTTGGTTCGGTTTACAAACTGAAACCAAACTGAAATAATCCGAACCGAAAAAAAAGAAGGATATTTTTTCATTATCTGAACCAAAAACCGAACCGAACCGAAAATGCATGAAATTTCGGTTCGGTTCCGGTTCGGTTCTGACACCCTTTAGTCAAAGGGTATTCCCATGTACTTTCCCGTTTTGCTGATCACTAGGACTCTTAGTTCTGTGGCCATATTCTGGCCAATTCTCGATTCCTCCAACTACACCTATTTCGGAACGGCCCGATTCCATGAGAAATCTGCAGCAACTGAGAATTCTTAAGATGGAGCGTTGTCCTGTGAAAGAGTTTCCTAGTGCCATTGGCGAGCTAAGGAAGCTTGAAGAGATCCATGCCTCCCATTGTACGAGTGTGGAGGGAATTATTCCTAATGACATTCACAATATACAATTCTGGAAAATATCGATCCTAGGACATAGTGGTGTTTCCAGACTACCACAGTCAATCCAGTCGCTAAACCGTCTCTAGACACTTAGGGCGCGCATGGTAACATTTCTATTCCAGAAATCAATTTCTGACCAGAAATAGATTTTTCTATTTCTATTTCGTGGACGAGTTTCTGAGAAAAATGTGTGTTTGATAACGACACAAAATTTCTATTTCCAAAATAGAAATTCGTTTGATAACAATACAAATTTCTAGTTTCCGGAACAAAAATCTATTCTTTTAGAAATGGAATAAAAAAATTAGAAAATCTAGAAAATTCCTAAAAATCTAAAAAAAATTCAGAAAATCCATAAAAATTGAAAAATTCCACAAAAATTCATAAAAATTTCCAGAAAATAAAAAAAGTCAGATTTTGGGAAAATAGGAAATCTGTTGAATTTTTTCCAAAAAAAATCACAAATTTCAAAATTTCATAGAATGGCTTAGAATACTTGTGACTACTCACTTTGAGTGAAATTTAAATTTTTTGAGGTGCCCAAAAAAATCAAAAAATTTAAAAAATTAAATTTCACTCAAAGTGGGTGGCCACAGGTATTCTAAGCCATTCTGTGAAGTTTTGAAATTTTTAAAAAATTTTAATTTTTTTGGGCACCTCAAAAAATTTGGATTTCACTCAAAGTGGGTGGCCATATGCATTCAAAGCCATTCTGTGAAGTTTTGAAATTTTTTATTTTTTAATTTTTTTGGGCACGTCAAAAAAATTAAATTTCATTCAAAGTGAGTGGCCACATGCATTCTAAGCCATTCTATAAAGTTTTGAATTTTTGAATTTTTTTATTTTTTTTGGCACATCAAAAAGTTTAAATTTCACTCAAAGTGGGTGGCCATAGGTATTCTAAGCCATTCTGTGAAGTTTTGAAATTTTTGATTTTTTTGGAAAAAATTCGACAAATTTCCTATTTTCCTGAAATCTGACTTTTTTTTATTTTCTGGAATTTTTTATGAATTTTTTTGAAAATTTTCAATTTTTATGGATTTTTCGGAATTTTTTTTGGGCGGTGGCCGGCTGACGGTGGCGGGAGGTGGCCGATGGCCGGCGGCAGGCGGTGGCAGGAGGAGGCTGGCGGCAATAGCGAGCGGTGGTGGGGGTGGCCGGCTTGTAGCGAAGGCGAGCGATGAGAAAAGTTGCCAATTTCTAATTTCTGTTTTAGAAATAGAAAAGTAGATTTTTTTTAACTTCTGATTTCTGTTTCAAACCTATTCCTGGAATAGAAATTTGTTTCAGAAATAGAAAAATGAAATTGCGTTACCAAACGGATTTCTATTCCAAATCTATTTCTGGGAACAGAAAAACAGAAATTATCACTATTTGGCAAGTTATCATGCGCGCCCTTAATTTACTTCCTTGCGACAACCTTGAAACGTTGGATGCTTCCCCCGGTTTGACTTGTCTGAGAATAAGCCCAAAGAAGATGAGCATAATCTTAAACATTCAGTATTTAGTCGAATTGGAAGAATTGAGCTTCGACGATGAGAATCCCAAGGAGCTAATAGTTCCTCGTAACCCCGCATCCATTTCGACAAAGCAGAAGTTTCTTTGGCCTGTACCGTTTCCGAAGCTCAGGAGCTTAGAGTTTTCTAATTCCCATATCCGCAATTTGATGCAGAATCTATTAGTGAAGCGTTTCTGGACCGGTTGGATAGGCCGAAGTCCAAACGGAAGGTGAAACGGTGATGCGACTAGAGCTGGTGGACCCGGTTGACGACATTAGATTGGGCTCAAATTAGGTCGTTTTAAGCGAAACGGCGTTCTGAACAAAACTCACCACCTTTGGCCGTGACTAACGATGGATTTTAGCGATTCGAGATCGTTTACATGGGTTTTTCTATTTTTTAATAATTTTTTATGGGCTTTAATTTTAAGGGCAGTTTTTGTAATTTTGATGTTTTATGTTTTCTAATC